TTCATTAGTTTAATTGTGCATTTAAAACAAGGTACAAAGTTCTGCCCCGCAGTGAGCATTACAGGATCATATCCATTACATAGTTCCACAGAGTTACAGTATGCACTAATGAACAAAGCAATGTGAAAAAAAAAATAAAAAAAAACACAATGACAATAAAAGACCCAAACAGAATATGCAGCAGATTGCTGCAGCATATAACAGATTACTTATCTGCAAGAATATTTTCACAAAAGAAGGTCGCAGTAAATACAATAATTCTGACAATAAGTGTTAAACAGCATTTATCCCATGCAGAAAATTTGTAATACAAAGATTTGAGAATCCCATGAGTCGATATATAATATGCGTACAAGTAAAAAAAAAAAGTCCACACAGCTAGTAATTGCATCAATTCCAACACTTTAAATCAAAAAACAGAGGAAGATGATGAAGCTTACATATTTCTTACAGTCAGCAAACACAAATGTATATAGAGAAGCAATGATCCGGTTGTATCAGTTGTTGTGCTAAGAAGCAGAGATAGCACTATGAATTAAACAATTTGTGCCCTGTAAAGGATTCCACAATCATTAAGGTAAGAAGTCAGCTGTCTTAATATATAAGGCTTTTGCTTTAATGTAGAGTGAACACTCCTTATCCAGTGTGTTATGTTCATGTTTATCTAGGCCACTCCTCAAACAATTAGCACATTTAGGCTTTTCACTTTTCTTTGTACATGTCTTAAACAAATGATCATCATCACAATGGCTACAAACTTTCTTCAATGATGGGCAACTTGCCGCCAAATGTCCAAAAGCAAGACATTTGTAGCACTGTCATACAGGGAAAAAATCATAAACATTGCACGTTTTCCACTGAACATAAAGATATCCTTGTTTTTTAGTCATTGCCCTAACCTCCGGTGATATCTCTAACACCCATGATAAAAACTCGTCATTTCTCTGTTTGATTGAAAATCAAAGGTTTAAAATTTGTAACAGAAAGGATAATTACAATAAATGATACAGTAGATCTTCGATTATCCGACTCAATTGGGGACTGGGGTTGGTCGGATAACCAAAAAGTATGAAATTATCCATTATTACTGTAGTATATTATTATATCCATGTAATTAGTATATTAGTATATCGCTATTAACCTACTTTGCGTTGAATTTTCCTCCATGTTAGACGTATCAAATTTTTTGTAAAAATAATAATCATTGCTATTGTATCGTTAAAAATTAGAAAATTAAGCCTCGTTTAAATACTGGCTCCCTTTCATGGTCAATCCAGTGTTGCAAGCTAAAACACATAAAAGTAATATTAAAGTAGCCAAGACAAAGCCAAATATTGTAGCGCCACATCACTAGCAGACATTTGAAATTTGCCGACTAGGACGGTCGGTTAACCGAGGCTCTACTGTAATATTAACTATATTCTTTGTCATCCATATCATTGTCACTAACTAACACAGGATGAGAATTGATGAGATGTTCATATGTATATTTACACTATGATAAGGTGAAGCGATGGCCGACAGAGTGCCATAGTGGGCAATTATAGGCCGTGGCACTGAAGTTGTCCCCAGTCAACACGGCAATTAACCGAGAATGGTCATATCTAAAATTAAATATGTCTGCGTGTGATACATTGAATGGAAGTCAAGTCCAGGTAGTACAACTGGCAATGCATTCATACAGAATGAGAAGCTAGGGTATTAAATGATGAACATTGTCCTCTTCACTAGAATTATAGATGTCATTCTGAAGAGCATCCAAATATAACTCGTAATCATTCAAGTGAGAAGCCATTATTAAACTATTTAAAATGTAATTATAAATATCACTAATAATGTTGATTATTATATGTAATATAACAACTGTAAAAGTTTTAAAATTATAATAATATAAGCCTGTATTACAAAAGCAAAGTATCAATACTAACTATTTATATAGTATAGTAATGTATTCTGAAGTAAGAACAGCTGCTGTCAGAAAAAAGCAGATCAGCAAAGTTCAGAATGAAATTTTCTATAGTACAGTAGACCTCCCTATAACGCGGTAGATACGTTCCACTTTTTATGAAATTCACGTTCTACGAGTCCTTAAATAGACGAGCCAATCACAGCCCGGCATGTATGCACTTTACAAACTACAGCTGTTTGAAATGTTTTCTTCTATAAAATTAATCAATTCTAGACTAATTTGACTCAACATTTCCAAAACACGTATAATTTCTTACGAATAATCCATATAAACTATGCTATAAACAAAAAATTGTAGGATTACTTACCAAGTGTGCACCATTCAAACACACCATTGATTAAGCTTGTTTTCGTCGTGGAGCGGCACATTGAACGAGAACACATGTGTTTCCTGATAAATTATTTTTCTGCAAAAAATTTGCTGAACTTTGGAGACATCATTAATATAAATATAATTTTTATGGCCATTAAATAATAAATTATTTTTAGTAGGTCTGCTGCTCGTCTAAACTGAATGGTTTGTGCAATATCTGCTATTTGACCAATCCTGTCGCAACACGAGTCAGACATGACATTTTATGAGTCTCTTTTAGCATCTTTATATGAATACAGTCGCAATTTTTTCGCCGCTATATACGAATCCACATTATATGAACTCGTTTTATAGGGGTCTACTGTACTATCATTCTTATTTTTATATAACAAAATTATATTCAATAAAACTACATAAATTACATGATATATATACTGTAAATGTACACANAAAATAATAGTAGAGAGTGAGCCGGACGTGATTCGAACACGCAACCTTCTGATCTGGAGTCAGACGCGCTACCATTGCGCCACCGGCTCTTGTTTCACACTAGTTTCTTTTATCACACTTCTATGATAAACCGAAATTTTGTAAATTTGTATTATCATCGACTATGAATATAGTTAATTCATAATAAAACGCTAGCTATTTAAAAACAAAAGATTTTATCGACTTTAAGTTACATTTTTAAATATTTTGGCAAGTAACGTCTATAAACATATGCTCAAGACACGTTACTGTCAATACTTTTCTATATTTAACGGTTGACTCAACAGTAAACCCTTGCCTGTATTTTTTTTCTCTCTCTCCAACACGTCCCTCCTAGAGAGGTCTCTCACGATCTTTAGTTCAGGTTAGAACATAGATATAGAATAGATTCCTTTTTTTGTTTATGCGTGTGTTTTTATTTTGTTTATTTCCTTTGATATAGAAATTCTCTTATTTGTTTATTAAATGTGTTAGTATTGTTCTACCCGTGTAGTTATCTGGACACATCGTCACGACCCCTCCTCACTAATTTTTGCCCTCCTAAGCCATCCGACAACCGACAGCGGGTGTTTCTAACCCGTGCAGATTAAGTGGTCATTAGGGATCATCCCAGTGGTCCCCTGCTTACTCACATTAGCACTGAAAAAACATTTACATATCTGGAGATTCAAAGACCCAACTCGTTTTGGAAGTTTACAGTGTTAAATAAAATTTTGAAGATTTATAAATGAAATTTAATACAGGCTACAATTATTTCTATTCGAATTTCGGCACAATAATTCTACCCACAAAACCAAACCCAACCCCTTAGTTTGAAGGGTCACAGCAAAGACATACGTGAGTAAACTATCAAGGGAATTCTTCCCAAAAGGACTTTGGAAAACTTTCCAGTTTTCCATTTGTCCAAAAGGACTTTGGACAAATGGAAAACTAGTCCTTATTTAGACGTTAAACAATATCTAAAATTAAGGTGATTTTGTTATAAAGTTCATCATTACCCTCGAAATTAACTTTATCATCTTATAATGTTTTTAATAACAAAATCGCTTAACAGATGGCGCCACACACAATTTTATTTATTAAAATTAATAATTTAAAAGTTATTTTTAAAGCAAAATCTCATAAAAAACGAAAAAGTTATAAAACTCGATGCTAGATTTTCTTCAAATGCCTTACCGTATGATNTCATCCTAAAGGTCTATTTTCAGTGTTTTTACATTGAAAATAGACCTTTAGGAATCGAACACAGTCAGGTGCCTCCACACTGAAGAAATTATTTCAATGAAAAAGAATCAGTTGAAGGCAGCTAATGGATCAGCCACAAGTGTTTCAGCAGTTACTATAGCAAGCACTATACTATATGAGCTTCTATGTGTTAATTAGACATGTGTTCTCAAGTGCAGCGTTTATCTTCCTTTCATTCAATCAATATAAAATCAATCATTTATTAAAACAGTTTTTAATCTTTCTCTTAATTTTAGTCTATTGATATATTTTTCTTGCTATCTTTTCATTCAATTAACTTGTTTATAACATTAACAAAATAATGTGGAATTTTTATGAACACCAGTTTAATTATGTAAAAAAATTCCAATCTCCATCTTATATCCATTTTAATTGATCATACAAGGAACATTCAATAGAAAACCAGAAAAGTGCCATTGAAAGTTAGGAGAATAAGCAATAGTGTAGTAATTCTGACAAACAAAAGTTCCAAGTCAGAGGCAATATTAACTACAACTGGAAATGCCGTTGATGCACAAGAATACAAGACAACAGACCAAAAAAATGGCAGCACCTCTCCAACAGTGTACAAAGCAAGAGCGACGTAGTATTTTCTGATTTTTGAAAAAAACCAATTGATATACATTGGCACGTGCAGGCACAGTAAGGAGATGATTATGAGTTGTACACATATGTACGAGTACTTCCAAAATCATTCACAATTTCATCCATGGCACTTACTGCAGTAAAATAGCCACATTTTTGGCTATTGTTTGGGTATCGAAGAACCAGAACAACAGCCAAAAATGTGTCTAATTAATTATAATTTTTAATTTCCTCATCTAAATGCTATTCAATTTTTAATTACATTTGATAAGTATTTCTTCATTCAAACAACTTTTAAAAGTTATTAAGCACATTGATTATTAAAGTTATATTAATACCGTTTTATAGAAGAGAATAAATTTAAAAAACTAGACTACTACAAAATAATGAATGTACTTACAGGCAGATCATTCTCCATAGCGGTACTATTGTGCTCGGCTTTAATACTTGAGCTATCGATTACAAATTGCAAACAAGACAAATGATCAGTGTTTGCATCAACGTCCCACTCCGGTTCCTTTTTGATGACAATTTCGTCTTCATTCTTGACACCTAATAAAATAAAAATATATAAATTCCAAATATTATTTCCATCTTATTGACTAAAATCTTACTCAGATCGAATTAAACTGAAATTTTTTAAACATTTTTCATCGTACAAACATGAAAAGAGTCTTTGTTCAATAACCACTAAAAATAAAATTATTCTTAGTTAAAAACAAGTAAAAAATACTCAATCCACTTCCAATTTTGAAAAAAATACAAGTCAAAAAGACAAACAAATGACAAGAAACAAACTAAACTTTCACTATTACCAACACTTTTATTCCATTTAATTACTGAATTTATGCCTTTTTTCATATCAACTGTACACTTCACTCATTCTCGACTATCTTACCATTGCCACAATGTTGCAAACAGCGGCAATGGTAAGGTGGTCAGAGACAAGATCTGACATCAAAGTCATATTATTTATGAAAAATTTCTGAAGAGTCAGTTTGTAGTTACCCTAGATATCTCATATCTTGGGTATGTGGTTGTCAAATGGAGCAAGCCAGTTTGTTGTGATTGAATACTGCTTCTCATTGTGACTTCTGTTTCAGTAAAGATGAATCTGAATTACATCAGTGACCATTCCTTAATTATGTGTACAATTTTTGAACCATTTTGACTGCTTTCTGTTCTGAACAATAATGTAGTATCGACAAATCACCTCGCCCACCAGTGGCCATGCAGTTCCATTCCCTGAACATTGATAGTTTGGTTGTGGGTTCGTGCCTCACAGGACAAACTGAACAAGTGCAGTTTTCTGAGTTTTCTCTACATCTTTAATGCCTAAATAGGAGCCAGTAGTCCTTAAAAGACTCCAGAAGGACACTCCTTGGGCAATCTCCTAAGTGGATGCCACTTACGAGATTGCCCAAGTGTTGCATTGCCATAACTAACAAATCACCAAGCAAATCACCTCCTTTTAATTTACATTTACATATTGCAATATTGAAGAAATTACTTTAAAAAGCTGGTTTCTATTTAAGCATTAGACACAAGAAAAACCTTGGTAAACTCCATTGACTTGACCATTGATTAGGCACAAACTCATAATTAACTGAAGTTCAGTGATTTTATCCAATTGGCCACTGGTGGACCAGACGAGGAACGGCAGCATCTACATTTTCTCCAAATTCATTCCATTCTTAAGTACTTTCATTAACTAAAAAAACTAGAAATTTGTAAATATCCAGAAATTTAAACAAAATTCAAACATTTATAAATTTTTCTAAATGAATAGAATGAATGAATCATTGCTAAATCAAATATTTTTCTAGTAATTAACACCAGTACCCATTTTTCTGGTAAATAATAGAATTTACCAAAAAAATGTAATTAATTTAAAAAATGATTTAATAGTAAACAATAAAAAGCATATAACACATACCAAGGCTTCAAATGAAATAAATATGACCATAAATGGACTGTTTAATTGAAATACTGAGGGAGGAAAACAACAAAGTAAATATTTGGTGGTGTCAATTAATGGATATGGCAATACAAAGTGTAAATGATCTGTCAAGGGTGACAACTCCTGGACATTGTATAGAAAAACTGGCCTCTGTTTAGGTGGTAGTTTGTTCAGTACAATTTCTTCAGTACAAAAAAAAACACAGAATTAAATATAATGGTAAAACTTTATATACAGACTCACAGCTACCAACACTATATGACCTTTCACAAACACATCTCTCGCCTGTGTATTAAAGTTTCTTCTCAATGAAGTACAAAAGATTCTTTGCATTAAAAGAGTTATAATTGTAAGTAAGGGTGGTGATAACATTCTTCTTTAACAAAAGATGGCATGCAACTTCTATGGCGCATTTAGTTTGAATCGCATGAAGGATCACAAATTTGGTAAGATGGTCTTGGTAAACTAAAATAAATTTATAATTTCCATCTGGAGTAGTTTGTAGATCTATTAGATCAACCTGACAGCGTGAGTTCATTTCACTGTGAAGTATAGGTCTGATGACAATGCCCTTTTTCAAAGTCTTCTGTTTCTTTTAGCAAGGTTGGCATAGCTTCAAATATGTCATAGTAGCCTCAACTGTTACATTTTTATACTTGCAGTTACATTCCTTAAGTATCCGTGTCCTTCCACCATGGCCAACAGCAACATGTGTTTCTTTGAGAATATTGAACAAGTCCTCGTAACAAATGTAATATCTTATTTCTCCATCCTCCTCCTTCATAGGTGCAATTAGTTTTTCTTCGCCACCTACAGTCAAAATGTCGTAACGCTTTATACACCCGTAATGAACAGCTTGTTTCTTTTTCATGTTCTTTGCAGCTTTTACTTCCTCCAAACACTTTGCGTATTTGTTCCTATTAAGATAAAAGTTATTGTCTTTCTTGCTTGCAACGAGCCCGTCCATTATTTCGTAAAATCTCCGTTTCATACTCATCTTGATTCATAAATAACTTTTAGACAACGAGATCTCAAACAAAATTAGACTTAACGTGCGTGTTCTAACGTGTCAAACGATGGAATGAGGCGAGCGAAAGCGGCGACGTGGTGCAGTGCGGAATGTGGGTACTATTTTTTCAACGTTTACCATGTCTCTACAGTAAAACCTAAAATATACCAAGTAAATGCTGGTAAAAGTTCGAAATTAGCGATGATCGCAGAACATTTCAGACTTTTACCACAAAGATTTGGTAAATCTTAGGTTTTACTGGAAGATCTTAGGATTTACCATAGTTCGAGCATTTACAGTAACATATATATGATCAAGCTTAATAAAGGAGAAGTGGATTTTCACCACGTAGGATCAATATACTGTGGCAGCATCTTAAGGAGCATTATGACTCTATACAGAATAATAAGCAAAGTATTGTGCATTGATGCAATAGACACTAGATAAAAAATCCAAGGTTTTTGGAAAAGCCCTATAATCATTTTAAAAGATGGACTGATAAACATAAGATCCAAATAATAGTGCAGTACTACATTTATTTTTTCGCGTGCAAAATTAGAATGATTAGTGCCTTGACTTCTTTGTATTAGATAGCAGATACCCTGCCATTCTACAGCCTTATAATTATAACATTTTTATTTACTGAATCCTTTCTTGCTTTATCTAGAAAAGGCATTAATATGTAGGGAAAGATGTTTGTTCAAGGTCATAGTGTCAAACAATAGGACTATGATTACTAACCAATTCAACTAGAGGTAGGAAGTAAAGCCATGTCTATATGCAGTGGTGATATTCGAAATATTTAACAAAGGGTTCGCTAACAAACTTTTTCCTTAACCTAACCCCAAGCCCGAGATATCTCGGGCAAGTTACATAGCGCTACATAAAACTCAGGAGTTTGGTCCCCCTAAAAGTTTTTTTTCTTTGGCTTTTTGGAATGTTTTTTTAAGTCTCCAAATTTTTTCAAAAATTTTTTCCCGCGCGAAAAAATTTTATCGCGATTTTAATTTACCTTTAATGACGCACGATTCACCCTTAATTGCTTTTTAATTGTTTTTTAATGGGAGTTTGATATCAAATTTCATTCATCGTTCTAAAGTTGTAGCGCACGGATTTTACTTCGGTAAAGTTATTTAAAGCTAGTTTCTGATGTCAAAAACGACCTCCGATAGTTTCTAAATTTTTTTAATTAATAGATTTTATTATATATAAGTTTAATTAAGTCGGGGGGGTCGGAAATCGCAATAAAAATTTTAATTTTTTAAAAATATTTAAAAATATACGGCCAACTAGTATTCACCCTACTATAAACCTATCGCCTCCCGAGACTTCTATGAGAATGTCCCGGAAAATCGGACTCCAGCTGTGTTCAAGGTCATCCAGCTGTTTAAACAATGACTCATCAGCGTAAGATTTCACAGAAAGACGAGACAAAGGAAAATAAAATCTGAAGCTTTTTCTTCAAAATTAACGCATTTCTTTCGTTTTTTCAGTTTTAAGTATTTTTTATGTTTAATTACATTAATATCAAAAATTGCTAGAGTCCCAAGGAGTTAATTGCTTTCCCTATGACTTTTTCTCAAGAAAAAACTTTTTAAATCGTTTATTTTATCATTAGGTATTATTATAATAAGAGACAGATGTCATTGTTTCTCGAAATACAATATCTTTTTTATTTCGCTGTCGATAGCCGGACACGTGTTCCGCAGCCATCTTGTATTTTCTCGCGCGCGTGGGATTGTGGGATCCCTCGCAGTGCCGGCCCGAGGCAAGTTTTAGGATGGAGCGAAATCCTATTATGGCGCCCCCTTAGTTGCCCCTAATTTATACCCTTTAATTTTCTTTACCACTAAGGCGCCCTCTAGGGCTTAGCGCCTGGAGCGGCTGCTCCGTTCGCACTATGGTAGGGCCGGCTCTGATCCCTCGTATGATTGGATCTAGTTTCAAGAACTCTCTTGAGTCGATCGCGATTAAATCTCGTTTCAGTCGAGATTGAAACGGTCGATGGAGGTTATATGCGAACGGCGACAAGTGGAACATGGCGAACGGGGTATAAGGCTCTAGTTTAGTAGTGTTACAGAGTATAATACGTATATTTTTTAAAAGAAACAAAACCGCTGAGAAATGTTACGTGTGTTTAACAACGGGTTCGGAAAACTTTGAAAATGTTAACAACAGGTTCGGCCGAACCTGTGCGAACCCGCTGAATATCACCACTGTCTATATGTAATTATTTACTATTTAATTTGAGTAGTCACATAGCCCAATAATTTTGGCAAGATAATTTACAAATGAAGAGATATTTGTTCGAATGTATTTGTTCTCAAGCACTTCCCAGCAGTTGTTCTCCTCTAAAAAAATGGAAATGCTCTGAAAAAAATTGATTTTCTGAATTAATTTAGCATTTTTTACCTTCTTTTTAAACCTGGTAAAAACAGCAAATGTTACATCTGTTAAATCCTCATTCTCCTATGTGCAGAGCCTTATGTTCATTTTGTTTTTTGTTGGTCAGTTGGTTTTGGGGGTCTTGATAGGCAAAAGATTACCAAGTGTAGCCAGTTATGTATCTATATGCCCTTTTGGGTCTTTTAATAAGCCATAAATCCTTCTGTTCTGTCATCTTAGTCTTCTGCAAATAAGTTTATTGCTTGCAGATACACCAAAATAAGTTGAATTTGTCCATTGTCATCTAATATAGTCTACGAAGCTTTGTCATCTGCGAGTATTTGTTGTTGAAGAGTCTTGTCAGGCTGTTTTGTATTGAGGAAAAGTTAGTAATGTGTCAGACTAAGTGAAATATGACAAGTTGACCATACTGGTTGGATATCCCATTATTAGATAGTTACATTGTGAGTCGTGTGTGATTACTTCTTAGATGGACAATTGTAATTTCTTCTCTCCACATTTTCCATTGCCTAGCTGTCTATTTTATTAAATCTGGTTTTGTAGTGGATAGATTATTATTAAGCTGTTTGTCCCATTCCTCTTGCCATATGCCGCATACATACCTTATTTACATGGTTATACAGTCGACCCCCCCCATAATTACAGTTCCTATAATTACGATTCCTATAAAACTATGAAAAAATTGTGACCGGTATCCATAAAAAACAGTAAAAAACCCCCTATAATTACCTCAAATGTCATCGGGCAGCCGAACTACTTTCCCGCCGTCCGTAGAGATTTCTATCGTCTGGACAGTATTATATAAATTATATATAAATTAGGTACTGTACATATAATTATATATTAATTATATATAAATTAGGTACTGTATATATAATTATATACAGGTAACCCCCGTATAACACGGCACTTCTATAGCACGGATTCGCTCTAACACGGTTTGAGAATTGATACCATCCCCCGTATAACACGGTACTTTTATAGCACGGATTCACTCTGACACGGTTCGAGAATTGGGTAAAACCCTCGTACAACAGGAAATGTAATAAATTTTTACATACTTAAGTAATAATAGTTCACGAAAATTATTATTTTCGCGAACTATTAGTACTTAAGTATGTAAATTTTCTCTTCTCGCCTTCTGTCGATACACGTGG